GTAGTTTGCCATTGCTTTCTGGAGGGTCGGCTTTCTTGATACAACTGTCGAGACTAACGCAAGGCACATGGCCCGCAGCTGGGATCAAACCCGGCATCCCGGCATTACGAAGCGTTGCCATAGACTTAGCCACAGAAAATGAAGAACTATTCAGTTATTATTATATAGAGATCTATTCATTCATTAGATTATGAAGAGCAATTCATCTATTATCAGGGAGAACTGTTTGTCATTTAATGTAACAGGGATATCTGTTTGTTACTGTAACATGGAGAACTATTTGTATGTTAATGTAATAGGGATAAATATTTGTCAATTAATGTAACATGAAGAACTATTTGTTAGGTAATGTAACAGGGAGAACTATTTGTCAATTAATGTAACATAGAGAACTATTTGTCAATCAATGTAACAGCGAGAACTATTTGTCTGTTAATGTAACATAAAGAACTGTTTGTCAAATAATGTAACAGGGAGACCTATTTGCCAATTAATGTAACAGGGAGACTTATTTGTCCATAAATGTAACACGAAGAAATATTTGATAGTTAAGAATACAATATAATCTGAAAAATTTTTTCGTCAATTATTTATCAATGAGGACTACTGAACCGGATAATTTTAAGGAGTGTTTATTTGAAACCCCTCCCAATGACTTTATTACAAAATCATGAAAGAAACAAACACATGTGTCTCTGAATTTTTTTTTTTTAAAAAAGCATTTAATTTGAGTGAATCGTGCACCATGGTTTAGCCAGAAAAATTCAATGTAGGAATTCAGACAAGCATCTCCTTGCTTGGGTAGGCAGAGATTGTCGTCCGCAAAAAGAATTGTGACAGCTTACTTGATCAAGTGTTTACCGTGTTCATTATGCCTGTGTAAAACCGTTGCTCTTTGAGAATTTTTTTTTTTAAGTCCGAACAAAGGAAAACTCAGTGGTGACAAGTCAGGACTAAAGAATAGAAGACCCAATGTCCCACTTCTTTCACGCTAACGCACCCTGCACAATCTTTGCAACATGCCAGCGAGCATTAGTTAGTTAGTTAGTTATTCCTCTTGTGCCAAAGATGGCGCATAGGGCAGAGGTCATAGCTTTCCACGTCTGTCGGTTCTTTGCCACTTGATGTAGGTCTTGAGTGCGACTGAGACCTATGGTTGAGCTCTCCCTTGTGATGGTTCTACGGAGAGTTTCTTTTGGTCTTCCCTGTTTTCTTTTACCCTCTGTGACCATATGAAGGCTTGGTGGGGAAGTCTCTGTATGTCCATTCTGAGTACGTGACCGATGTAATTCCAGCGACGCTTTCTAATAAAATCAGACACATATTTTTGTTTTGTTTCCTGTCTTATAGATGTATTGGACCTAAAGTCCGACCAGTGAACATTCAATAGCTTTCGGAGGCATCTATTCTCGAAAGCGACTAGTTTCTTATCGATTGATACTGATGATTTCCAACTCTCACAACCATAAGTTAGCACTGGGATCACACAGGAATTGAAGACCTTAAGTTTTCGTGTTGTTGCTGAGTGATCTTGACTTCCAAATGTTTGACAGTTTGTTAAAGGCACTTGATGCTAACGCGATTCGAGTCGTTATTTCTGATGTTGTATCTCCCGCAGAGGTTTTCTTTGCTCCCTAAGTATGTGAAGCTGGTGATTTTTTCAAGAACAATATCCTTTAGTTTGATGTCTTTCGACTCGTTGGTAAGATCGATGATTTTCGTTTTGGCTGCGTTGACCTGAAGGCCGATTTGGCTTGAAATATTCTGGAGGCGGTCCATTTTTTCCTGAGCTTCTAGATGTGTTGTGCTCAGGAGTGCTAGGTCGTCAGCAAAGTCAAGATCTTCGAGAACTTTGTCGACCCATTTGATGCCTAGATGTGTGTCCTGTGTGCATTTGCGCATGACCCAATCGAGTGCTATTCCGAAAAGCATTGGTGACAAGACACATCCTTGTTTCACGCCTGTTTCTACTGGGAACCAATCAGAGTTACTAGATTCCGTTCTAACAAGTCAGCGGAAATCGGTGTAGAAGGCCTTTATAATATTGACATATTTATCTTGGAAACCATAGATTGTGAGTAGCTTCCAGAGTGTAGGGCGGTGTATGCTGTCAAAGGCCTTCTGAAAATCAACAAAGTTGATGATGAGTTGGGATTGAAACTCTACTGACTCTTCTACGATGGTTTTGAGTGTGAATATATGGTCGATGCATGACCGATTCGGTCTGAATCCTGCTTGTTCTTCTCGGAGTCTTGCATCTATTGGCTTTTTCAGTCTCTGCATTAGCATGCTGCAGAACAGTTTTCCTGGTACGGAGAGTAGGGTGATACCACGCCAGCTGTTGCAGTCTGCTAAATCACCTTTTTTGGGCAGTTTGAATATAACACCTTCTTTCCACTGTTGCGGTGGGGATTCATTTAGGCAAACATCATTGAACAGCTGTAGCAAATATTGTAAGGTGTTTTCGTCTGCTGCCTTTAACATTTCAGCTGAGATTTCATCTGCGCCAGTAGCCTTGTTCTTCTTTAGTTTTTTTATTGCTGATTTAAGTTCTAACATTGTGAATGGTTCACAGGTAGCATCTAGAGGTGGCATAGCTTCTTCTTCGTCTATATTGGGAACAGTGTCGGGTTGTGGCCTATTTAATATTTCTCTGAAATGTTCTGCCCATCGTTGCTTTTGTTGTTCTTCCAGCGAGCATATTGTGCAACAAAATCACGCCGCGGGAAAGAATGACGGGACCTTTATTCTTGTTGGCGTTATGCAGCTTGCCGTGTGTTTCTAAATAGTTGGTAGAGTTGATGTTGTCACCCGGTTCCTGAAAGTCTGACAACAATAGCCCTTCGTGGTCGAAAGATGCGCCGAGAATAACTTTACTAGAGGAAAACTGTTATTAAAATGCATGCTTTCTCTCTCTCTCTCTCTCTCTCTCTCTCTCTCTCTCTCTCTCTCTCTCTCTCTCTCTCTCTCTCTCTCTCTCTCTCTCTCTCTTTCTTTCTTTCTTTCTGTCTCTCTCTCTCTTTCTTTCTGTCTGTCTCTCTTTCTCTGTCTCTCTTTCTCTCTCTCCTTTCTCTCTCTTTCTCTCTCTCTTTCTCGCTCTCTCTCTCTCTCTTGCTGCTCTGTCCAAAGTGATGCTACTATGGCTCATCGCCTGCCACTATACGGAAGAGAAATACTCCACCCTCCGCTCTGTAACACAACAAGATGTGCATACACTATCGCATACGTTCCATTGTTGGTAGTGTGTCAACGTCCATGGTACCCCTTTGAACACAGCTTCTGTAACTACAGTTTCTCACGAACAACGTTTTGAGTTCTCTCAGTTGACACATCGAATGCTTTCGACACGAACGGATGCTTCGACAACCGTTCACCTATACTGCTGCATCAATGCTGGCATTAATTTTCTGTCGCAACAATATGCTGCCGCCCTTAATCTGACCGTGGAAGATTTGTCATGAACTCACGTCCTTTCCGGAACATTCGTTCCAAGTATGTCTTTGTTGTCTTCGACACACATGTGTTACCGTACGTTACCTGCATACTTTGATGAATGTCCATTGGTCGACATCCTTGGAATGAAAGAAACTGAGTCACAGCTCTTTGAGCTTCTTTGCACAGATTTGGGATCAATCATTTTCCTAAAGGTCAGAAACAGAACCTATACATCAAGGGAGGATAAGCTCGTATGTATCACATAACTTAGACATGATCATGCTCAACGCATGCGATTGCTTCTATATTTATCAGTTAATGTAACAGGTGACAGATTAGTCGATCAGTGTTTAATGTTTAATTAGGAATCGACACCATAGCATTCTGGACATTTCCCTAAGCGCTCCGTCCCCATCATCAGCAGCAAACAAAAAGTTTAAATTCGAATAGTACCAGTAATAGTTTGATTATATATCCTTCTCGCTTTTCCCCTGGATGTTGACCGTCAGTCAAATCCTTTGGTCACTCCTCGCATTGCCATTCTTCTCGGATTGTGATTGCCCATCTGTGACTCCATTCTGTCCACTAGCCCCCAAAAATGAAATCACCACCAAGTTATATAAAACCAGGCTATCCATCTCACTGCTCGTTTCTTAATATACAGGCATTACCTGTGGAGACTATCCAAAAGACGTTAATTACATTTGAACTCTGAGGCAATGCTTTTCACACTGAGTAGAGCCTGCCTGTCTTCTTTCTCAAGCTTCGAGGCTACAATTACGACGTGTGTGTACAGCTGGTTCTCAACCCAGATGAAAACTGGAGTGACTGCCTCCACCTACATTCTCAAACTGTTATCATATGCTAGTCTCTGTTGCACCCAAAAAAAAATCCATTCGGGTTTCCGAAGAACCGCCATGCACTTCGTCTTATTCTCAACACAGAGCAATCTGTATAGATAATCACATCACTGGGCAGGAATTATATAAATTATTTGTTGAACTTCTGATTCTGCAGCGCCCCCTGGTCAGTAGCTGCACTCGCGGTCAAGTGGGAAGAGAGCCCAACATAAATCTGAACCTCTCTGACACATCAAAAGCATTTGACCAGGTCTCTTTCCCTGGCCTTAACTGCCCAGACCTCACGATAGGATCTTGTCTCTTGCCAACAATTATTACAGTTTAACAGCAATAATTTTCTCCAGGACCTTGTGAAAAGTATTTTGCAGGGTGATAATCTTGAAACTTGTCGGTTAGTGTATCAGTGAGAACTATTCGTTTAATATTATTTTATGGAGAACTATTCATTTATAGATACAACTGGAGGAAATCACACAAACTTTACAGTCATGTAATCAGTATAAAAACAAAACATTGCGTGGTTCGGTTTTTCCGGAAGCTCTTTTTTAGCGTCGCTTTGCAATATTGCAACAAGCACATATTAATTTTACAAATGTGCTTTTGAACTTTGAACTCATTTTTAAGTAAATGAAAAAATTAGCAGTGGCATTGATCGTTTCAAAGTTGAGCAAAATGGAGAAAACTGCTATTAGTAGGTTTTTCTGCCTGCCAGCGAATGTCAGTTGTGGAAATACCAGAATAAACAGGAAAACGACAGTTCCAGGGGCGTAGCAGGATATGAACGTAATGGAGATAATTGTGACCATTCGGACAACCTTGGCATCTCTGCTTGTAACACTGGCTTGTTTATTTGAGGATACCGACTGCTCCTTCCATCTGGCGTTTTTCTTCAGTGCTTTCACCAGAATAACAGTACATATTGTGATAAATATAAAGAAAACGGTTGGCAGTAGATTATTGGTCCAAAATGCAATTTTCTGTACGTTTACACTGCTGGAAATATGTACAATCCCTAAAATTGATTTGTTACGGCTAGGATCAAATAACCAGGCAGCTCGGGTGGTGTAGAACACTGGGAACGCTGACAGAACCATGGTGACACAGATCACGATCATAAAGGATACAGTTCTTCCGGGTGTGACGAGGGATTTTATCTTGAGAGGAAACAGAATACACAGACATCGCTCAAATGTGATCCAGGCGGTTATACCTGTGGTCACTCTTGTGAAGATCACGTGTGTCCACATGAAGAAGTATAGTAACTGAAGAGGGTAAAATGGCAGGTCCATTGGTTTTAAAGACGGTATCCAACACAGGCTGATAAAGAAGTGTAAAACCAACGAGCCGAAATCTGAAATACTCAGCCCAAGAAGACTGATATTGACGGGGTCCCGCAAACCTTGTTGGATAAACACTATTATGTTTAAAATGTTGACAACTAGCCCTAAGATTGTCAT